CACAGCAATATTAACGAAAAATGGACAAATTGTACTGGTGCATGCAAATCAGTTCAGAAGCATAATGGTACCCGAGGAAATAGAAATGGACGAAGAATCAGAAGGTGAAGAATATGAAAGAAAGGAGGGGACTAATGAATCCAGTAATGAAACTAAACAATCTATGGATGTTAATAACCAAAAAAAAACTGACAAAGAGTCGAAAGAGGAAAATGAACTCGGATTTTAATCACTTATAAGAAGAAATCAAGATACACACCAAGAAAGATAATTTAGATTCCCAAGAATAATTAAAAGAAGCCAAAGATCAACAAAGGGCATAAGGCCATTTCGATTCAGGGAGGTGTAGTATCGTATGCAAATGAGCTACTACTATAAAAGCAGTACACCACAGCGAATGCCAGTCGAGCGATTATCTTTTGACCCTGACAACGTCTATTCCAGAGAGTATTCTACAGTAACTCCATTCTTACATTCACCATTATCATCAGCATTCTACAGTGCTGTTGTTTACAGAATTCTTAGCATTTTTTTCACATATCTATAATTATTCCAAATATCTTAACGATGGTCTTAGGGATACTTTCCAGTGTTCTGAAATTTCTTCAGTTTTCAGTCAAGGTAAACTATTTACTTAATTATATTTCAGGATTAGTATGTAGTCCAAAGAAATAATCAGATTCATGATTTTAACATCTTGTTTATAGCTCGTATGTTCTTGTTTTTTAGGGGGAGTTTAATCTCTAGGTTTATCCCTAGTTTTTGCTCACACCATTTTTGTATGGTTAGACCCAAGTAATTTGTACAATTCTTGTGTCAGCGAGCCTACCAATCATCGCTATTTACATATTCCTTATTAAGATACACGAATGCAAAACTTTTTAACTTGTTTTTCTTAAAAGCTATTCTCCTTCAGAACAGTGACAATTATGGCTCTCCACAGTTTCCCTTTCTTTAATATCTATAAAATATCTATAAAATATCTATAAAATTGTACATTGCTGTACCAGATTTTGGGAAGATAGTCTAATGCTTTCTAGGCACCTTTTCTGAAGTTTTGAATTCAGATAATCTTTTCCTAAACTGGTTACCCTGCCAAACCTAAGAAGCCAGTGTGTCCTATTATTGATGCAGTCATATATTTTCCAAAGAAAGCTGTGAAATCAACAGCCTCAAGCGAACTTTGAATTCGGCCTACCGATCCCATTTTCCATGTTGATAACCATTACGACATCTTCACACACCAACCCTATAACACTTTACCCATTTATCCTGTCCGAAAAAGTTGTACAATAGTTTGTCGTGATTAAATTTACAAGCAAACATTCAAATTCGTAATAGTCTCACATAAGTAACTTTAATTTGTGAAAAGTGATTGCGACAACTGTGACGGTGATCCACTCAAATTATCAATAAATCTTAAGTTCTTAATGGCGTTCTGTAAATAAAATGATGCACAGCTTTTCAGGATGAAAGATTCAATGCCAATAAAATCTTCATTTTGGTATGTGATGATACGAGAGTGTCGAATGAGCAATGAGATGTATAAAGTTTATAACAGAACGAATGAATTTATTATTTAACGAGCAAAGATAAATGTCTTTATATATATATATATATATATATATATATAATATATAAAAGACATTTATCTATATATATATATATATATATATATATATATATATATATATATATATGTGTGTGTGTGTGTGTGTGTGTCTATAGAAATAGTGTAAATGATGCGATCAACGCATGGAAAAGCTTATTTCCTGTCTCCGTACAGTTCTGGAATTTGGATGAAAAATAAAAGAATAACGTCAGTTATTCTTTTATACATTATAGATTATGAAGTTTTCAATTTAAAGTTGAAAAAAAAACTCTTACTTATGTAGTTAACTAACATGTAAGTGGATTTCATAAAATCCTCTGCAACTCTAACTCAGCTAAATAATATTTAATCATTTCAGTCAAAACAAAAATATAAATAAGTAATGCATCTGAATGAAAAAAAGAAGTAATCTTCTGCGATTATTCTAAGAATCTAATATGAACTTGACACGCAATATTTTCTCATCAGTCAGTAGAAATCGGAATCACTGAAAGTGTCGGTCAAGAAAATTGGCTGAGACGAAATTTACTCGCCTCTAAATTGACTGCAGTATTCATCAATGAATAGATTTATGATCCATTTTCCCTTTCAGATATCAATATATATTTTATTTGGTATTTTATATTTTAGGATTTTTCTTTAGCAAATATTAGGAAAGTAAATCATGGCCAGACGAATTACGATGTGTTGATAAGGAAATGGTGACTGGCTTATTAATTTCAGACAATATAAGTTTCTCATTTTATTTCTCTTCCTTGGGGGCAGCTGCGATTGTTGACACTCAGAAGAGATCAAGATTTATTACTTTTACTTATTTTATCGATATGTTTTCGTACGTGAGGCATATTATGAACTTGTATAAATCCAGACAAAAAGCGAAGTTAAAAGAGAGTGACAAAGAAGAAAAATCGTTGCGGAAGATGCGGAAAGAAAGATTGGAAGTTTCTGATTAATTCCGATTTGTTAAAAGATGCTTGATCGAAAAACGAAACTTACTGACGACCACCCACACGCTTACTACCAATGCCCATGTAATAATGATGAAAACAGGACATCGTGATTTCTACATATAAAAGAAAAAAATTGGGAGTTTTGAGGTCATATCTTTCCAAAGGACAAAGGATCATGAAATGACATTTGTAATCCTTCGCAAAAATTAAAACTGGTAAATTATATTTTGATTATTTATACTATTTACATTCAGTCTATTGTCCTCATCTTTTTTGTCGTCATCACAACGTTTCAGCCGTTGTGCTCTCTAGCCTTCATCAGGTGTATGCCGATCAGGGTAACTTACAGAGAATTCCGAACTGAATCCTTTATTTAATGTACAGGTTTAGACTATCCTCGTTCCACTGTCCATGTTTAGGCATCTAGTTCTCATTTTTTAGTACCGTACAGGAATTGTTCACCTTGTTTCCACCAAGTATAAGTATAAACTGCCCGGACCAGGGATTGAACTCACAATTACTGTGTTACCAAATCAACGCTTTAATCCACTTGGCTATTGTCTTATGATAACAACAACAAAGATGAGGACAGAAGTCAGCAAGTAAATAACTCTGAAATTCTATCTTATATTTAAAATTTCAGAATACTTCAAACTAAGCGGAGAAGCAAAAATTTTATAAATGGGTCATAACCCGTAGATTGACAACTAACGACAACCAGGCATAAACTAAAGCGGATGCAAATGATTACCTAAAGTATACAAACTAGACCCTTCCCTAAGAAATAAAAATGAGTTGGAGAGGTTGTTTTAACAAAATGCTAAACAAGTTATATGCTTTTTGAATTGCCTACATATTTTTATAGTTGATAAATAAATAGCTTGTTTAAGAAACTAGCAAATAATTTAAACGTGTAGAATTATTTGGTAAATTAATATGCAGCTGTTGAATAAAGATTCTTGATATAAGATGTTAATAACACTAACCAATCAATGTAAAATGTCAAAAATACCACCCAAATACCAATACATCCGTGCAAGATGTTACTATTAGTACCAGGAGATTAATACAAAATTATATAAGATAAGCCATATATGGTACAACGCACTACAACTAAAATATAAGAAAAAACATAATCAAATTCCAAATCTTAACTAAATTGTAAGGTAAAAATAAACTATGTTTACAATTTACTGTTAATTTATTTCTTTGATTTCATAAGGAACTTTTATTAAATTTGATAATTTCCAACTTTTCATATAAGCAGAGAAAACAGGGCTCATATAAAAATCTACATGTCCTTGCCGTTTTTAAAATTTTCCATTTCACCTAAGAAGTCTTATTATCATCTTTTAAACTGCAAAACTATTTAGAAAGTGATGTATTATATCTGTAATTACTATTGGTGAAAGACAAGAATTGTTGATACCACCTAGTCTTGAAAGAATTCTTAGTACCACCGATATATAGAACTTTGTCAACCGTCGGGTTCTCTATTGTAGTGATAGTACAAAGATAAACAATTAAATGTTACGAACGAATTGTACTCTATTCGTTTTCATATTACTTTATACATAATATCACAAAGTGTCAGTATGTGTAATAAGTCATAATTTATAATTTTATCTGTCGACAGGATGAAGTTGGTTTTTGATTTTACTAGATGTTTCTTTAGAAGATTTAACATCTAGTCAAATGTAAAACTAACGCCCTAGCAATAAAGAAATGAAGAAGGACCTTAAATACGCGGATCTAAAGGAACCTGTTTCGGGACCAATATTTTCGTCAAATTTCAATAAGTTTTATAAATTTATCCCTTGCAGTAGCGGTATTATACTTGACCTACCTAGCAATGTGTAAACAATCAGTAAAGGTCTCTTCTCGTTAACCTCTAGTGGTTGTAAGAAAACCTCCACCCCACTACCTCACCCTTTCTTCGTAACAATGTCTGATTTTCTCTTATTCTTTTCTTTTTCATAAGAAATAAAATTTGATAAATCATATTAGGGAAAGCGGAAATAAGCAGTGAATTTTAATAAACATTTAGAAACATTAGAAGAATAATTATGACTTCTTTCAGAGAATTATTGGAGATGGAGGGGAAATTAACAAGCGATCAAACTCACTCAAACACGATATATATATATATATATAAGGTGAGAAGGGATAAATTTGGTTATTCAGATTGATGTGGTGTTGTGGCGGAGATGAAAGACACAACAGAAAATGAAGATTTTTTTTTCATATAACGGGAAAATAAATAGATTTGATGTCATATTAATTTAAAAGACAATTCCAACAAGAAATATCATGTTAGAAAGATGTTTGAGATTGTTAAATAAACTGAAATTTCACGAAGAAAGACGTGTTTATTGTGAAATACATAACTGAAATTTAAAAAGTGTTCATAATATCAAAGAAATGGAACATTGTGGAAGCTAACTGCACTCTTCAAGAAAAGTGATAGATGATAAAATTACTGTACGAAAATAAAGAAGCATTATGAAAGACCGCACAGGGACGAGAAACACGATGACAGGAAAGAAAAGTGAAGAAAACTGAGTGGATTTTGAAGCAACAGCCTTTTTTCCAATTTGAACAAAAGAAGTGAAAGTGCTGTAAGGGCAAATTTTGCTCTGTGGAATGAAGGATATTTCATTAAAGAGTGACATTTTAAAGGCTTAGTGAAATTCTCTGTGCCGAGAAAATGAAATTATTTAAAAGCATCTGTTTGTCGCATAAGAATTATTAGATTTACAAGGAAAAGTGATTGGGCGAAATATATTAAGTGAATTGGAAAAGTGTATAGTGCGTACAAGATTGCTTTGGTTAGATTTTGTTTAACGGCATGTCAATATCATTATGGGTCATTTTACTCCAACCAGCTGAATACTTATATTGCATATATACTTTTCTTTTTTCAAATATATATATATATATATATATATATATAGAGAGAGAGAGAGAGAGAGAGAGATTGTAGTATTTACTACGTTTAAACCAATATGCTTTTACATACAGGATGTACTTAACAGTCAATTTATAATTGCAATAGGTGCATTGAGGTACATCTTCAACACTTAGCAGGTGTATAAGAGTTCGTCTTGTATGTCCAATACGGACTCCAGTTAGCACTGTGTCCTCTCTTCGCTCCTTTTAGTAGTTTTGCGTTTTCTTGTCCGACATTTTGTTGGTTTTTGTAAAGTTGTTAATTTTCTTTTTAAAATCTGTATATGTAATTTCTATATTAGTTATTTACATGCTACAGGTTTTTTTCTTTTTTTTTTTTGTTACTTCATTAACTTTCTCATTACCCTTTATGCTAACATAATCTGGTATCTATGCTAAAACAGTTGATTTTTGTAATTTCACCAGGTTGTCTCCAGCATGTCTGCAATGCAAGGGTGGTTAGTTGCTTTGTTTTTTCTTTCATTACTACCAGAGATAAATATCCCAAACTGTTACTCTACCGAGTTCCTTATCAGATCAAATGTCATCTGCAAGTCTTGCAGTAAAAACGGAAGTGTCATGAGGCTTTTTGCTTTTTTGTTTCAACCATCGGTGTCAGTATCACGCGTTTTATTCGAAACATTGAATTCATCTTGTTTGGAAATTATCTCAATGTGAAATCTAATTTCAAACTGAGGTACTTCCATTTCTTTTTTGTGGAGTTCGGACAATGTTCTCCCTAAAGACATGATAGAAAGTGTTTACTGAACATTCTGCCCTTTATTCCTATGTTGTTTACATATTTCAGAATACCATACTTCCATCTTGCATCGTAAAAAAAATACCGATATTACATGATGTTCTCGTACAAAGCCGTCTCAGATAATGCGGACAAGTTGATCCATTGTGTTTTGTTATATTTGAATCCACTTTGCTATTCGAATACAAGATTGTTTTTCCAGAAGCCATCTTAACTGGGCATTTACCATTCTGTCTATGGTTCTTTCCAAGGGACACTTTCAATTCATGAATGGTAAATGGTATATTGTAATTTTCTTATTGTCAGAAGTATTATTTACCTTTTGTTTTTCAGCCCTGGATTTAAACGTTTGGAATATGTAGAAGTAATGTTCCGTTGCTAATAAGTTAAAAATATCTATTTTTCTGTGGACTTTTCTCCATTTCGTCTATTCAGGTACTTATTAATATTTAATGGTTTTCCACATTTTTCTCCCCATATCCACACACGTTCTTCACTGGTTTATTAGTGTCAAGTTATGATCATTTTTTAGTTGAAGTTGGAACTTATTAAAATGTTTCTTTTCAGCGTTTAATGGCTTCCCTGTACTCTATTCTGAACTAAGGTTTATGTTTGACTTGTGATTTGGCTGAGGATTTAGGGATTGTTTGTACCATAGCTTAGACTACTAAACATGGGAAACGGGTCAATGATTCTGGTTCTTTGAGTATTTTATTGCTAATTCATAATTGCTATTAATTTCGTATTGTTCAAATTTGTATCAGGGTTGGGGTTGGGATATATAAGCATATGGTTAATGTACGATGAAGTGTGGTTTTAATACATGTGGCTTGTAAATTTGTGTTCAAGTATAGTATCTCGTGTGGAGTGATACATTTTAGCATTATAGAGGTACCACCAGTTGATCTGTTATCGATGACTGACCTGGAGGTTTTATTATAGCCTTAATATCCTTTAAAGTAATCATATGCTTTTTGCATTTCTTCTTGAAAGCAGACTATATTTGGATTATAATCTGCCATTAGTCATTTGATTTCTTCCATATTTGCTCAAATTCCCCTACAGTTCCATTGCAAAATGGTTACTTTGGCCATGTTTATTCTGTTTTGGCCATGTTTATTCTGTTTTGGCTTTGTAGATGGAAAACCGCCCTCTGTTTCTATTCTAGATTTGATTTCATAATTATCAATGTTCATGTGTTCCATATTTGTGATATATTGGTTTGTTTTTTTGTTTTTTTTTCGATTTTGTCTAATTCCAATGCTTCAAATCGATTTTGTATTGGGATTCCTGATATTCTTTTCATTTCGTAATTATTTGTTTTCTAACTTATTTGGATTTAGTTCATTGGGAGGCATTTGATTAATTCTTGTTGATATGGAATTTGAATTTGTTTTTATTCTCTGAGTATTGTTCAAAGTTAATTTTTGAATGAAATTATCAAATTTCGTTTCACAGAGTTTGCTATCATGACAGATTTTTGACATTCTTGGTTGATGATGTTTTCAAGCGTTTTCGCCATATGAAGATGTAAAGAAGACACTTTTCGTTATCGTTCTTGCTTCTGGGAAGTTATGTTTTGGTAGATTTTATTCTTATTTCTTTTTCTCTTTTCCACACCTTTGAATCAGCAGTAAATTCTTGATTGCAATTTGGACACTTGGATTTTTTGCAGGTTAATTTGGGATGGTACATTTCATTCTCTCCACATCTTGTACACACTGGTGTTTTGGAACATCTATTTTTTTTGGTGGCAGTAGGAACCAGTAGAATGGTCCAGGCTTTTTTCTATCTTAACAATAGAGTATCAATTTTTATTTATTTCAGATGGAGGTTTACTTCTATTAAATGCAAATATATATGTATTCGTGTTAAGGTTTTGTCCATTTTGTTTAATTATTATTCTTTTGACGTCTATAAATTTCTTTCTTGTCTTAAGCGGGATTTGAGTTTCTGATTGCTTCTTTCGATGAATTTAGAGATTCGTGACGGTAGGCTATGATATTTACTTCATCAAAAGTTGTTCATTTTAATTATTTTGATTTTAATTATATTTGACTTTTTTGTTATTTGTACTAATATTGTACAATTTGCGAATTTTGTAGCATATCGGGAAGTTATATTGGAGAATATAATTTTTCCATTTGAAATGGTAGCAATTTAGTAATGGGCGTTTCTTCTATTAATTCAAGTACAACAAATTCCTAAGTTTCATTTAGCTCTGTTTCACTGTCTGAACTTGATGCTAGATGCGGTCTATAAAATTTGATCATTGAGCTCTTTGAAGAAAGATGCTTTGCGAATCAAGTGTTTTTGGTGAATATAAGTATTAGGGCTTAATGTGACTAGCCAATTGATCAGATCGAACCTCTATGACCGCTCTTCCAGACCAAGTAAGGTCCAAAGTAGAGTGTTGAAGCCGATGACCTCTCAATACCCAGGATTATCAACTGATCAGCCTCCAGGATCCCGCCCTCAGGCTTGACGGATTGCCACTTATAGTAAACGAGTAGCCTCAATGGTGGAGGTCTTACCCTTTTGCAGAGGTTCAACCGTGTATACTACTATCCCAAAGGGTTAGGCCACCAACAAGACTGGATTAGTCAAAGCAGTAACAGACGGTCCCCATTCAATATGTTCTGAATAGATGCGCTTAATGAAAATTTGAATGGTCTTGGTGTGATCATCTCTGTTATTCATTGCATTCAGCACCAAGAAGCAATGTGTAGGAAAACATTGTAGATGGACAACGTAATGGATGTAGTTGTGCAACCATCTGCACTTTTTTATCATTAACGCAATGAAGTCATCAAAAAGCAAGGGGGTTACTGAGCGGGATCCCCCACCTGCTTGTTTCTTCATTTGGAAAAAATAAATGAAACTAGAGTTTTTGTTCATCTGTAAATGATGTGCTTATTGAAAGAACTTCTGGGCCACGATTTTGCATGTTATCATTGAAAATAAAAACTGAAAGTAGTTTTCTTTTTTTTTTTCGGACGTTACTAACATTTATTTTATTGTTCCATCACCTATGGATCTAAGGTTAAAAAATATATGTTCATGGTTTCCATTTATATTGACCGGCATTTGAAAGAAACCTCTGGTAATTATATTTAGCATTTTCCTCAGTTTTCAGCCTCAACGATTGGCAACGCAATTTTCCTTTGAAGACCACAACAGAAATTATCCCAGGTTGAAATTTTTATCTCAAATCTTATATTCTACTATGTTTCAAACAAAAATCTCAAACATTTGATGAATACAGAACAATCCAGTTTTAACTCGAATATTCTTTATTGTTGCCTTAAGGTCACGTGAACGTCATCAACATCCTTACAAAAGTAATGTAAAGCAACTAGGTCAAATCTCGTGAAACACGAGATTTTACGGCTGAGAACTACTGGAATTCTTGAAAATGGATCACGTTGAAGGCTTAGAAGCTCATCTTGAGTGAATGCACATCGCCTCCCATGCGCTCAATGATTTCCACTATTCTTGGTTTTATTGCCGATTCCAATAATTTTCCTCTCTTTCTATTCAGTCATTTCTCCGTCACTCACCACTCACTTCATATTTACTCTTCATTCCTTATATTTTACAGTATTTCTATATTCGACATTTTTTACAATAGATTGCCTTTACTTTTCTCATAAACATTTCCTTTGGATTTATATCCTCTCTCTCTCTCTCTCTCTCTCTCTCTCTCTCTCTCTTTTATTTACCATTTACTTTCAGACATACACCATTCACATATCTTGACAGATAAGAAAGGGGTTGGGTATCATTTAATGCTTTTTAGCATACACACACACACACACACACATATATATATATATATATATATATATATATATATATATATATATATGAAACAAGGATACAGAAAGAAATGGAGGGTGATTTGCCTCAATTGTCAATCTATCGTTATTTGTTTATCTTTTCTTTTCTAATTCTATGATTTGCTTACATATACTTCCTTCAGTCTTTAGGGAGACATCTACGTTTCTTTCTTTTCTTTGATTTTTTTTCCGGTTGAACTTATTTTTACCTCTCTTCTTCCATTCATTTCTTTCTGTTTCTTTTTGTGCACCACTGCGCCAATGAAACATTCTCTATGTCAAGCTTTCTCATCTTTCATTTGATACTGACAGGTGAGCCTGTCATATTCACGATCTGGGGTGTCCACTGCCACTGTGTCCACTAAGCTGTCATTGACGTCATCGATGAAGTCAAAATGGCGGGTAGGCTGAGAACTACAACGCTTACCGAATAGCGATGTTATTGACAGCAATAACTGAATAACGGAGATAGTTGGGACGGGTGGTATTCAAAGAAAAGAAAAACGACATAATGATTCGTGTGATATGAAGAAGTGCTATGGCGGAGAGATGGGTCGATGGCAACTGATGATGACATGGAAGAGAAGTAAAAATGTTGAAAAGAGATACGATGATGTGAGAGAGAGGAGGAGGAGGAGTGTATTGCGAGTTTAATACTAATAATGAAAAGGGGGAGAAAGAGCTAATATTGTATATAACAAAATACCAAATATATAAGAAAGTAGTTGTCATAGGAGAATATTATGCTTAGTCATTAAAAGAAATATGACGATGAAGAGAATCAAAATAAGATGGCTGGGATGATTATATATGAACAGTGACAGCAAAAGATGAAGAATTTGGACAAAGATTGATAAGGTCAGAGAGATGTGAGTTTGGTGATGCTGCTAACGAGAAATATTAAGAAGAGACAGGATGGGAATGCAGAATAATTTGGTGGAAATCTAATGGTGGAAAAGAGAAAATGAGTGGACTCATATGTTGATTGTTTCAGTGATGATAAATTAAGAAAAACATTTCGATGAGAAGAGGATATAAAAAATTTAAAGAAATGTCTGTGATGGTTAAATTAGAATAATGAAACAGCTATATAATGATATTGAAGGCAAACTGAAAATATTACCTTCATCCAATCATCTCTAGGTCAACTGCTGATGTGTTAACGATTATTGCTGAAAGTGTCTATCAAGCTTTAGATAAGAATGGTGAAGCCCAGGCTGTTGCTTGGGATATCTCAAAGGCATTTGACAGGGTTTAACATACTGGTCTTCTTTACAAATTGAAAGGCTATGGTGTTTCTGGATTAATTTTTGAATTGATTCAGTCTTTGTTACAAAATTGTAAAATGAAAGTTGTCTTGAATAGTCACTCTTCTAGATCATTTTGCATAATTACAGGTATGTCTTCCAGGGCTCTATCTTTGGACCTATGTTATTTCTAATTTTAGTAAATGTCCTTCCTGATGTCATCAGTTCTCAACTTGATATCTACGCGAATGTCACAACTATTTACTCCTGTCTTAATAGCAAGTTCGATCAGTTTGATAAAGTCAAATTGGCAGATGATCTTAAAAATGACAAACAATCTGTTGTTAAATGTGGCAAAGAGTGCCTTCTTAATTTTAACGCCTCAAAAACGAAACTGCTCTTTTTTAAGAGAGAATCCCTTTTAATTGCGATCAGGATAGCTGATACTAACTTCCAAGAGAGTGACTCATTCTCGGACTAATGTCTTCAGCTAACATGAAACATATAAAAACATGAAACATATAGAAACAACTGCTAAGTCTGTAGCTAAAAAAATTAGTTCACTATGTCGCCAGAATCTATCATCCTTGCTTTGAATATTGCTGCCACATCTGGCCATGTGCTCCTTTAGAGATTCTTGATAGAATCCAGTGAATAATCTGCAATGTTATTAGTCATGATCTGGCATTTCGGTTTCAGTCATTTTCCACCGCCTTAACGTAGCTTCTCTGTGCCTTTTCTGTAAATCCTTTCATGGTAATTGTTCGAAAGAATTTTACTCTATGGTACCTAGACTTTATGAATTTAAGCTCAGTACTAGATTGGTAGCAAGGTCTCATCATTTTATAGTTGCAATGGCTAGATGTAACCGTAAGTTCTATGATAACAGCTTCTTCTATCGAACTTCTCAGTTGTGGAACTCTCTTCTGGGTTCGTGCTTCCCAGTGAAAAATGCAACGTCAATCGTTACCTTATCAACCCTTTAAGGTAGTTTTGAAGTCAGAACGTCAAAAAACAGAGGAGCTTGAAATAAAATGTGACCTCAAAGCCACCAATTTCAGAATCAGGGCCTCAAAGGATGTCGATGGGTGCATCAACGTAAATAAGGTAATAGCTCCAGTTCAACTTAATATGTACACAGACACAAACAACAACCGAATAACAGGGAGTTATATAAACATCTAATCAAGAAGGTTGAAAGAAGATTGAACGATCGGGAAAAATGACCCGAAACCACATGGCCTTCATTCTAGAGAGTCTAGAAGTGAATAAACAATAATTTTATATATGAAAGATTTAGTTTCATTTTCTTATAAGACATTACTAGAATAACATTAGAGAATGATCTTAGTTGAAGTTTGCAGTTGACGACAATATTGATGTAAAAGGGTGAGAAATATGAAGTTATATCTTTCTTCGTGGTTTGCAAAAATAAAATGAAAGAAGATTGTCAAAACCTACAGCAAAAGAATATTATAGTAAATGTAGTGAATTGCTGTAATCGCAGCAATGGATGTGGTTGTCGGGAAAGAAGACAGGTGTTGGTAGAGTACGTAACAGTTTCAAATCCTTCTAGGAGGAGTAACGACAAGCATCATCGGCATTGGTCTCGGGAGTGAGCATGGCGATGACAGTGGTTTGTACGATGAGCAGAATAGGGTGAGATGTGGGAACGAGATTTGATGCTTTCAATTTAGTGCTAATCGCGTAAAGACATTAAACTGACCCTCAACTTACACTTGGCTTGGCTCGAGCAAATTGAGAAGATGGAAATGGAAAGCAGGCGCGTCAGTAGCGAGAGTCACCTAGCGGCTATCTAGGGCTGTAACCTCTCGTATTGCTGATTGACTGGGAACGATGTTCGTCATGTTTATGGCGATTAGCAGCGAGAGAGACTGGGGAATTTGAGGGGACAAAGCGGTGAGTTATGAAGAAAGAGAAAGAAAGAAAGAAAGAAAGAAAGAAAGAAAGAAAGAAAGAAAGAAAGAAAGAGAGTGAGAAAAACAGAAAAGGATGACAGAGAACTAGATAAATAAGAAAATTAAATGGAATTTTAATGTAAATAATAGAACGTTTTGAATAAAAATTTGATTAAACGTAAGTAAAGATGCAGGAGGAAATCAAAGAAAAAATGGAGGTGGAGTGAGAAACATTTAACTAGTGAAAATTTGACTGTTGGTTGAAATGAAATATAAAAAAATTATTATGTGTCTGAATCGATGATACAGAAGAAAATGAGGAAAGAAATCCAAGGTTTAAGAAAATGAATGACAAAGCAGAAAAAAATCTGTGTAACGTGTTTCGTCCTCTAAGAAGGGCTTCATCAGACTAAAGTAATGTTTTAGTTAATGGATTTATATATGTGTAGGAAGATGAGGGGAATTGTTTAGATAAGATTCAAATTGTTCAAGTTTAATAAGATTTAATATGTACTCATTGCATGAAGCAAGCATTGTTGGGCCGAAGGCCTAGTCAAGAACCCTCCACAGGAGCTAGTATAAATGACACCCAA